TTTTTTGGCTTGACTTTGCTTCCTGGTGTTGGTGAGTTTCTCACGTTGAAGACGTTTTTTTCTGTCTTCATAATTTTCGAGAACAACTCTGGTCGCTCCAACAACTTTAGGTTCTGCAGCAATACCCAAGAATTTGCAGACTTCTCTTGCCCCATTCATGTCCACTTTTACCACCCCCGTTATGTAATCTGAAATGTTGTAATTTGGCGACTTCTTTTGTATCTCCTAGGGCTCGCTTTCACTGGGAGTGTGTGGCACAAATGATATTCCTGCTTGTTTAAAAGAGCTCGTGACATTGTCTCCGTTTGCCACACACTCCCAGGAATAGATTAGCTCTCTAATTTTTTCCTCTTCAGACATGTTAATATATTTTTTCATTGCTTGTTTGAACTCTGGGGAATCTATTTGAAGCAATTTCCCACTTTTTTCAACATTTTTTCCTTCTTTTTTTAATAAAGTGAATTTGTGGCAAAGATAGTTGTTTTTGTCCGCCAAAAATTTCTTTTGGTTCCCGAATATTCCCAAGTCCATTGGTTGACATAAATGGGAACTGTGAGGGACCTCCTTAATCATTTCTACACGATTTTTCAAAAATAAATTTTGAATTTCTTCAGAAAAATGGCCTGAAAAACCATCAAGTATCAGGAAAGCTTTCATATCGGCACGCACACCCATTTGTTCTCTTTTTGCCTTAATTGTCGGGAAGAACACTTTTTTAACCAGAGGGTGTATAATTTATTATTCAAAACACCTGATTTTTGTGTCCTTATTAAAGCCCAACTTTTAAGGGATATAATAGCAACATCTTCCAGAAAAAGTCTTTTTGTTACCACAAGTGGAATCATTTTGGTTCCATCGAGGCATCCACAACACAAAAGACTTGTTCTGGAACTTTCTCTTTCAACTTCATTAAACACATCTTGTCCTCTAGAAACTTCTGCATAGACAATTTTTGAATGAGAATCGACCCATTGGTCGAATCCAACTTCATCGAGGTTAAAAATAAGCTCAAAACGGCACCCGTCATTTTTCTTTTTAAATTCAGTGTAATATTGCAAAATTGACTCGGGTGTAACTTCTGCCCGTTTTGCTTCCATAACTGGTGCAACATCTGGAATATGGGTCATAATTTTGTGCAATTTCTTGGACCCAATATTTTTGTCGAAATTGTAGTGAATAAAAAACTTGCTTCTTCACGTGTTGCTTTTTTGTTTTACTATCTTTTATTGCGTTTTGTATCGCAATAATTTCTTCATCATTTAGTAGTCTTTTTCGTCCTTTTTCGGGTTTTTTACCAGTTTTATTTTCGTTATTTATTTTGTCGATTTGACAACGAACACTTTTTCTTTCGAAAGTCCCGAAAAAATAGTCAAGTGCAATGGGAAAAGACATTTTTTTTCTTTTAATATTTTTGAAACATTTTCTGGCAATTCCTTTAAACAATAACGTACTTGTTGACGGAAAGAATCAAATGCCATGGATTTAACTTTGATCTCAAGATCTTTTAAAAAAATAATCATATCTGGGATTTCTTTTAAATAATCAATCACATTAATATACTGTGGTATTAAAGGTTTTTTCATTGTGTTCACTAAACTTTGCAATTTTTCATCTTGTGTTTTATACACATGTTTAACTTTCGGAGGTTTTGATATCATTGGGCTATGAGACATTGATGAAAAATAAAGATTGTTATAAACACTCAATTATTAAACGTGTATTTTTGATTTTATTTGAAACTTTAGAATATATTTCAACAAAAATAGTTGTGTTAATTATTGATTGTTGTTTTTAACAATTAAATTGATTTTGTTAATTATTATGTGATTGTTTAAATAATTTTGGTGTTATTTTGATTATTTTGCTTCGATGGATTTGTTTTTTTTTATTTTGCGATGAAATTTTATCGCATTATTGTTTAGTTTTTTTTACAAAGTTTATGTTTTTTTATAAAAATAAAATATTAAAAATTATGATAATAAATAACTTTAATTTTAAACATTATTTTTGAATGATTTATTTAATATTTAAATAACTAATTATTTCTTTAAATAATTTTGCCCAAAATGGTCAAAAACATTTATTTGAAATGATTTAATAATATTTTTATTATAAATTATTAAATATTTATTCTATATAGTATTATGAATAGTTTTTGAAATAAATTATTATTATATCATAATAAAATCACATTTATATATTTTTGTTTGTTTTTATAAACCATGTTATATTATTAATAGCTATTGTTTAAATTATACAAACTAAATTATTAAATTATTAAAATATTAAATCATGATAGTTTATCAATGATTTAATTTATATAACACATAACGAACACTTCATTTTGTAATTCTTTGGCTTCGTGTTAAGTTAGTGCCTTAGCGACTGCAAGGTTTACTGATAAGAGTTTGCACATATTAAGTTATCAATTTTTTATTTTTTTTTCGAGACATTTTTTATTATTTAATAGTATTTTTATTAACTACAATAGTTATTTGTTTTTTGATTATCAACAATTGGTCTAAAAACCCAAAATATAGCGTGATATATTTGATAATAAAAACACTTAAAATCTATATTGATACACAAGATACTCTTATAATAAATAATCTTTTATTTTTATAATAATGGTATTTCAAAGACTTGCCCAAGCGCTCTTCAGTTGTGTTTGCATTGACTGTTTATGCATTGAATTACGTATTAAGTATCAATTAAGTCATTTTTTCGACACTTAACTAGAATTTTTTAATAAAATGCACTTTTGGGCAAGTCTTTATTACGGCGAAAAAAAACGATGTTTTACCATTTTATATAA